ATATCTAACATATTAATCCATCAAATTCACAGAAAAAGACGCCTGTGCATTACATGCGATTAAATATGATTTACAAATATAGATGTTTTGTAAACATACCCAATGTGACAAACATCAAACATGAGAATGCCGCTGACTTATTTCCCCAAATATTCCCACAATATTTAAAATTCAAATCGAAAAAAACGCCACAATATTTTGAGAAAAACATACAGATATGGAAAATATATGGAAATTTCTAATACCCCTAATCCCATGAATATTTCTAAGGATTAAAAGAGAAAAAATCCTCAACATTTCAGAAACCCTAAGCGAGGGGAATTTTTCTTATTAGCAATTCCGGCAACAACTCTCCCTGCACACGATTGCACGCACAACCCTCCTCCTCAGGTGATGGCGGCGGTAGTAATCGTTAAGGTGATAACGTGTGGCATACAAAACAAATACTAACTAAAACACCGGCCGGTCGACAGACAGACAAAGAGACATGAAAGCAGCTATGTGGCTTCATGATTGTTGTTGACAAAACAAAACAATAGAGGTGGCAGTAAACCAATCATCCAGCCATCCATTGCCGCCGAACGAGCAATCCATCCATACCCTGTCGATCAATATTCATTGATCATTGATTTGCCTGAAACATAAAACACTCACACTGAAAAGGAGTTGGCCAAAACAAAAACATCGCCGAGAACCAACAGACCATTGATTGGTTAGTGTTTATGGCGTTTGTCCCGCCAAAGGTTGTTATTCTGTCTGTTTTGTTTTGCCTTACCAATAGACAGCCAATTTGTTAAGAATTCTAAGCGTGAATACCTTCGCCTTCCATTCAGGTAACAATCCATAATACAATTACAACAAAAACGCGCCGTGTAAATTAAAAGGAAAGGGAAAAGAACAATTTTCCTACTGGAAAAACTGCTTTAGCCTACCGTAATACACACACTCAGCCAATGTGTGGGTGCAATATGTTCCAACTGCCCACAAGCCAATTGTTGTTTATTTAAACTCTTATTTATTGGTTGTTAGTACGAGGATCATTGTAGGAAATTCACAATGATTTGTATTTTTCCAGGAATGAGATAAAATTTAATATTTCCATTTCCATAACAAAAGGGAATTGGGTTTTTGTTCGAGTTGAACTATTTCTGAATCGCAGACATGTTTCGCAAATAATGTGAGATATAAGTATTGAAAATTGTGACTCTTTGTGTGTTAGTAGAAATTTTAGAATGTATCGGAAGCTTATATTGAACGAAGTGGTTGTGAGCTTCATCGTTATTTAAAATGTTGACCCCTTCTGGGCGACTAGTAGAGAGAATGAACCGATTTCACCTTCCCACCAGATATTGTGTTAATACAAATATTTGGATGAGTTATATTTGAACAGAATCCGATGCTTATTTCATAGAGTTATAATTATTCAAAATGTTGACCCTTTATGTTGTATACAGGGTGAGATAAAAAAACTGCAACAAAGTCAAACCCCATAATTTTTACATTTTTTTGAATTTTATTGAATGAAAGCAAAAAATGTCGGAAATAGCATAAAATTTTAGAATAAGTTTAGATTTGTTCGAATTGGCCACCTTTAGCATTGGCCTTCAAACGGCCAATGAAACCATCACACGCTGCCCGAATGTTGCTCTGCGATATTTTGAGCCATTCCCGGCGAAGCGTTTGCTTGAGGTGATCGACTCTTTGGTATTTGTTTGTTCCAACCTTGCTTTCCAAAATACTCCCGTCACAATAGTCCAACGGATTGGTATCCGGAGATTTTGGTGGCCATTGTGCGCTGGAAATGAAGCGAGGAACCTCATTTTGTAACCATTGTTTGGTGGCGCGTGCTGAGTGCGATGGTGCTGAGTCCTGTTGGAATGTCCAATGTTTGCGTGCCCAAGGCTGTCATACACCCTCCAGAATATTTTCGCGAGCATTTATTCTGATGCCACGGTCGATTAATACGAGCGGAGAGCGACCATCGGCTGTTATGGCGGCCCACACAATCACCATGGCCGGCTCTTGAGTTCTGTTGGCTACACGAAGTTGCACATTTTCAGCTGACCTCTTTGGCAAGTAAACACGATCATTTTGTTTTTTTTTTACAAACTGCTGGACAACGAATGCTTTCTCATCGGAGAAAACCAAATTCGGAAGTTCACCACTGTCGGCCAAGCGATCCAACTCTTTACCTCTTTTGAGTTTATGTAAGTTATTGCACTTTTTGGAATTTCAACGGCTTCACCCCTAGTTAATTTTTCAATATTTGCCGAATGGAATATTGCGATATGTTCAGCTCACGAGCCATTTTCCGGCCACTGCGACGCGGGTTTCCACTACTCGAACCATTTCTACTGATGTTGCTATTTTCTTCCTCCACTTCCTTGACGTCGTGCTACCAGTATCACGGTAACGAACGATGGTACGAGACACAAAAGATTTGTTCACATTTAAACGCTGGTTGCTCAAACGATCGCCACTTGTGGTTTTCCAGCCAAATATAATGAAATAACACTATCACATTTGAATACCATTTCAAATAACTTTTTTCTGGAAAATCCTCACCAACAATATAATGAATTGTCACTGGAAAAAATTTAACATCCGTCGGACAAGTGGGTTAGAAATGACAGCAGTCTGAAGTTGGTTGCAGTTTTTTCATGTAACCCTGTATATATTCATAATACAAATATAATTCTGAGTCGATTTAACGATGTCCGTCTATTCGCTTAACTGTCCTTCTGTTTTTTTTTTATTGAAATTAATATACAGCTCAGATTATTTAATGTAGAGCTTTGGAATCAGTCCACCTTTTCGTATAGCTCAATATAACGGTACCTTCGGATATTCTATATTCATTATCCGTATTTACAGTACCTTTGCCTATCACCTGCATCTGAACATTGTCTATATTGGCCCACAGTTTTCTTGAAACCCCCATATAACGGTACCGTCCGATATTCGGTATTTTTATTGTTTTAATAACATGGTTCAAAATTTGGTATTTGAAATTCGCAATAGATAACAACGACTGTGGCAGAACATTTTCTATATAGGTTCACGTCTTGTTATAAGGATCATATAATGGTACCGCCAACTTTATGAGTTTTTGAACACTAAACTGCATTCTTAGACGATTTCGCGGAATTCTCTATTTAAAATGGAACCGTTTCGAGCAATTAATCCGAATTCTTTTATAAGTTTTTTTTAATCATTGTGGAGGTTATTTTAGGTTTGGCCCTGTTGAACTTAAGTCTTTTTCAGTTGTGATGGACTAAATTGTTGTTTTGGACTACGATAGAAGATATACAGGGGAATTTTATCGAAATCTGAATCCATTTTGTTCAATTTCAATAGATTAGTCCTTTAACACAGTGTGGTGTAGCGAGCACTGGTAGTATCAAATATATATTTGACTAATAAGTCGAAAAACGTTAAACTATGACATTCTAGAGATAACATAGTTTCATAAATAGGGTCCATAAGCGAGAACGTATTAAGTACAGCGGGACCGAAATAGGAATACCATTCACCATCGAAAAACATATAGAAAGCTTGTTGGTTTTTGGATTGGATTTCCCCAGCAGCACTCCATGTAGTAGAAAAATGAGGTTAGGACAATCAAAATAACATTCCAAAACCTGGACGACCTTAATTTTTCCCCAGAATGTGTTCTCTCTATTAAGATTTCGAAATGAAAAATGTCAGCTACTTCAGCTGGAAAAGGCTGCTTGAACCCTCATAGCTTCCTACATCTTATATAATAAATTTTTCTGTGGGGAATTATATCCTCTGTGAATGAGGCGTGAATTTAACAACATTTGGGAAGTACCGCTACAATGGATTAATATTCACGTGTTGTTGTCAATTGGAATTCCACATTAACCCCTAACATCAAAGTATAGACAATTTGATAAAGTATTGTGACTGAAAGCTTCAAAATGCAGAAAATCAAGGATAACAGTTACGATTTGTTAATGCCGTTATGTTTACATCTCTGGAAACGTAGTCTTTAAATTAATTTGGAAACAAATTAAAGATATCGCCATTAAAACCATTACTTACATTTAAATAATTTTGATTTATACTCAACAAATAATGAAGATCCATCCTCTCATAAAATTTGCACTTGAAGTGTTAATAACTACCCTCGTTACTCCGCGGGAAGATCAGATAGTGTTTTGTTTTGGTCAACTCCACAAAGAGGCAATCTTTAAGTGGAAGGCCAAAGGGGACACAAAAAGAGACGAAAACAAAGCAAATTTCTCACTCTCATTGCAGTGATTACCGATGCTGTTATTGTTGTCATTGTTCTTGTTATTAGTGTGTTTCATACACATTTACGCATTTAAAACAATATGCATTAATTGTATTCGGCATTGCAATCAGACAAAACGAACCGGGCAAAAGACAGAGAAGAGCAAAGATGGATGGATGTTTGAATGATTCGAAATGGAAATTGAATGGAAAATCTTGACAAAGCCAACAACAACAACATCAACTACTACTACTACACTTACAGTACAGAGATTCGATTGAGCGGCAAAATAACAGAGTCGAGCAACACGCACTTATGCTACATGTACTTACAACGTACGCACCAAGTGTCCAGTGCCAGGCAACAACAACAGAAAATATTTGTGCTAGCACCACACATAGTAGAAGAATACTCCAACAACCATACCCAACCAACCATCCATCCATACATATGGGCCTCATACAACAAATAAAACAATGTGTGTAGCATATTCCTACTCCTATGCACTCGGGCGAATTGAATGTGAATATGAAAACATAATTGTTGTTGTAGGCGTAATGTTGTTGTGCGTAGCTCAGGAGTGTGTGTGTGTGTGTGTGTACGTACGCGTATGGCATTGTTTGTGTGCTGCTTGCTCTTCAGGGCTCGTGGTGTAGCAAAAGAAACATGTTGCACATAAGTTGTGTGTTGTGGCTTGTAGAATGATTTTAGAACGTTGATTTTTTTATTCCGTTTCGGGATGTCAATGCAATCAGACGCATAACGGCACCACAGTGTAGCAGAAAAAATCAAAACAAAAACAGATAAATTTGTAAAAACAAAATAATACCAAAATAATTAAATAAAATACATAAGATTTAACTTGAAAGATATCATTGGAAACACTAACAAACTTGTGAAGTTTTGAAAAGTTCTTATATACGAAAAAGCGCGGCTTTTATATTTTATATGTGTATGCGATAACCAATACTAAGACAACTTATGTATAAAAACAGCAACAACAATAATAAAGCCACAAAGAAAAACAATATCAGTAAACAATTTTGTCATATTTGTGTTCTTATCATAACCACCCAAAGTGTATTGTGGCTCCCCCGAAAAAAAATTGTGGCTTGTGTTTACAAATAATAAAAACAATAATCATAATTACAACAACAACCACAGAAATAAACGCCACGAATAACAACGACAATAAAAATAATTATAATTGTTTAAATAAATTGCATTTTAAACATTCAATAATTTTTGGTATTTAAGAGAAAGTTTATGGGTTTTCGAAAATGTTCAGCGACATTGTTGTTACAAGCCCAAATATCAATATTTGTATAACAATGACCAGCCATCAACAATCAGTGTAGTAGTTAGTAGTGCATAAACAACTAATATTTCGAACGAATCAGTGGAAATTACAAAACAAAAACAGAAAAGTTTTGAAAACAAATCGCAACATAGCCAATTGAAGATTTTGGCATTTACAATTGAATTGGCATTTATAAGTGCATTTTTGCCTGTTGTTTTCACACACACACAAAAGCCAGTCATCATGTTTGTCACAGTGGATAATGCAACAAATACCTTCTTCTCAGGTAAATATTGGTCGATTTTGAAAACAAATTGGAATTTTCGGGGAAATTTTTGATAATATTTTATTTTCAACACATTCACTATTAGAGATAAGCCTAATATTATGGGGAATCTTTGTCAGACGCGATAGTCTGCAAATCTTTGTGAGGAATTTTTGACTTGTGTTTTGTTTTTGTGGGAGAGAGCGAAAAAGAAGACAGTTTCTCTCTTCTCTTACAGAGGTACTCAGCAAAATCCTCCTAAAATGTTTACTGTCTGACTTTCGAGTTATTAATTTATTCATATAAAATTATTGTAAAGTAAAGGTTTCCGAAAGAATATTAGTCAATTACTTTTTAATGGATTTTTCTAAGAAATTTTAAAATTGATCATTGTTTGGCAGACAAATTTCCAAAACCCGGATTTTTGGGAGTACTTTCATATATGAATTTCGAGAAATATTTCTGGGTATAAATGCAATTTTTCCAAATAAACTTTTTCAATACCTTTAAATACTTGTAATAATTTTTAATAAATGACCCCAAAAAGTCCTTCTCAACAACGCAATCTCGCTCACATGTCAAATTTCGCTTCGCTCTCTTAAATAATCCAAATGCAGTGTTAATGTACCGTTTATTTATTCATTTTTATACCCTACAACACTATGTGTTGGGGGTATTATAAGTTTGATTGGGTCAACAATTATGTAACATCTCGAAATATTGGTTTCCTACATAGGAACGTATATATGGATCTTCCTATCTCGCCGAACTGAGTCGATCTAGCTATGTATGTCCGTCCGTCCGTTTGTCCATGTTAATTTTTAATCAATCTAGAGGTCGCAATCATGGACCGATCTTCAAAAAAGTTAGAATGGAGGTGGGGCAAGGGCCAGAATAGAAGCTATTGCTTCTGGAGATAATTGCATAGTATTTAGGGGTTGAAATTTTGAAAATTTCCCTGACTTTGCAGTTGCACTACAGGTCGGAATTATAGACCACTCAAAGGGGAAGTTAGGAAGCCTTCCAATTTTGATGGTCATCGGGTAATATTTAGTGGGTGAAATAGACCATAATATTTGTGTTAAATTAAAGTAAAATTTTCCATTAAACCGCAAATATTTTTAATGCCGGCGAAATCACTAATAGACGAACAGGTCAATCCTGACCTTTACGTATATGCCGATAGTAAATATTTCGGATATATATAGCGAAATACATACAACGTATATATATATATATATATATATATATATATATATATATATATATATATATATATATATGGCTGGATTTTGACAAATTTTGTCAATTCCGAATGCCCTCTTGGCATAAAAGTAGAAATTCTGAAAAAATCGCATAAATCGATATCAATAATGATGTTAATATAGATTTTGTAGTATTTTGTTTCCCTTTTTATATTTTTTATCGCATGCTATTTTTTCAATTTGACTTATAATATTGAAGTAATATTTTGTCACTTTACAACACAGATTGGGGTTATTACATCAGATTGCAATTATCGTCCGATACTCACGAAAATTTTCACAAGGGTAGGTCTAGGGCTATTGTTTTCAAAGATGTCAGCAATATATTTAGGGGTTGGAGTGGACCAAGAAATAAAAATGTTCCTGATTTTGCAGTCATTTCAATAGTCACAAATAGAAACCAAAGGACAGGAAATCTCGTATGAAGTTAGAGTTTAGCACAGCGGGTAGAATGGACAACTACTTCTGTGTGAAAAAATACCAGCAAAGATACCAGAAAGGCGGACTTCTGAATTTTTTATATTGATTTCGTTGAAGACTATAGCCAAATATCGTAGACAAGCAAATCATATGAGTCTAAATCTGGAGATACAGACGGGCCTCTTGCTTTGTAGATGATCGTAAAATATTTAGGGGTTCAAATGAACCAAAAACAGACTAATTTCCTGATCATACAATTGAAGCTAATCGACACGTCTGAGAAGAGAGTTAAGGACAGGGAAAAACTCTAGCATTTTGGATGATCATTGGATTATATTTAGCTGTAAAATTAACCACAACAACTAGCAGCACGTCGGAGTGCAAATGTCCCTGGTCAAAATTCTAAGGGTAATATCTGGGCAGTGCTTGAACATAAGGGGGCCTCTAACATATTGTAGTGTTGTAGGGTATCACATGGTCGGCCACGCACGTCTATACCATTTGCTAACTTGTTTTTACAGAATTGTTTGAATTGTGACACTCTTTGAATCAGATTAATTTTAGGTACCTTTTTAGAGGAGATTTAACTTCTCTGGCAAAGCTTTCAGATTCAGATATTTGTACAAATTTAATTTTAAATTAAGTTTCTTATTCGGTTAACTTTTCTTCTGATTTTCATAAAAAATTCAACAAAGTTAATGGCTGTTTATTTCCCACTCCATTCACCACAGTCTCCCACATTTGTTTTGGAAAATTGAGACAGAGAGAGAGGGAGAAATATAGAGAGAAAATGGAACTGAACCCGAATCACAGCTTAAACCCATTTAATTTTAACAGAGATAAATATGAGTGGGAATGAGAACAAGCTTCATAACCCAACAATAATGCCGGCCATTTGTTGCCGTTTCTCTCTATTTGCATTAAGATTAATTGCAATACTGGGACACATTGACAAGTAACGAACGACGAGGGCAGCACCCTTAGTTCACCTACCACAACTCAACTAACACACGCACATTCACGCATAATAGTTAATTCAAATGGCTATTTCCGTTTCATCTCTGGGCTTTGAATTTTGATTTTTAGTACTGATGTTATTTTTTATGTTTAATAAGCGGAAGTTAAAACAGATGAATAAATAAACAAATGGCAGGCAGGCAAAATGAATGAATGAATTCCATTACAAAGAGTGTCTGACAATTCTTTATTGAATGAATTATCTGTGTGCAGACGACAATGCACTTAACAGAAAAATGTGTGAAAAGAAATGCGTAACTAAAAATTTTAATTGCTTTCTCTTTTATTTGATTTGTTTTTGCAGATAATCCCTATTATTTCTACAATGACCCCAAGTCACCGACGACACCAGATTCTCAGAGTTCCAGTAAAGGTTTCTCCATATTCAAGAGGCGCAACTCCAAAGGAAATAGCCCAAAAGTAACAATACCGGAACAAACACGTCTAATTACATCGGCAAATCTAGATACGACAGCCACACTGACGCTGGGCAGTCCTCGAGGGCAATTTGGTTTTCAGCATGTAAGTAGAAAGAAATAAGAAAATTATATAGTTTTCCCTTATGATAATTTGTTGGCAATTTTTTTTCAACAACTTCCTCTGCTTTTGTTTGGCTTTCTTTTCTTATGCTTTAAACATTTTAGCAATCGTTTGAACTACAACCATTGATGTCCCAACATCTTCCCCACCACCAAATCACATCATCTCTGCACCAAAGACGTCAACGTTCGACGAGTTCACATTCGGAAACTTGCCGCGAACGTTTGGGTTCTTGCAGCGAAACATCAACGCCCAATCATAGTTTTGATCATGACGACTGCTTCAGCGGCCCCCTATCGCCAAGGTAAGCAAGAGAACATTGCAGTTTTATCGGTTTCCTTGATCTTTTGACATTGAAGGGAAATGGAAACTAGTGCAGCTGTTGACAGTTCATTTTGTTTGTAGGCTTTCCGCAACAAATCGTGCGGAAATTTGCCAAAGTTACTCTAAATGTTTTTTACATGATATTAATTTGGGATTTTTTTCTTTGTGTTTTTTTTTGCCTAGCAAACATCATTCACACCATCATACATTGCCATCAGCTGGCGGACGACGTCATTCGTTTAGCAATTGGCGTCATGCTAGTGAACGTCATGCTTCTTCATCTTCAAATCATCATCATCACAAAAATATTGCTTCCAATATAACAACAACCGATGAAGTGCCTCAAATGATGGCACCACGACCACCGGTTATATCGCCAAATAAATATCGTGGCGGCGGTAGTTCACATAGGAGACGAGGTAAGTTTTGTCTTTAATTTTCTAAAATATTTTTTTAATACACTTCAAAGGCAGCTACAACAGAAACTCCTAGGATGTTGGGTTGATTTTCTTGATTCCGATTTTGAATATATTTTAATTCTCCAATAAAATCAAACAAAAATTGGTGTTTCGTAAGCAATTTATCCTAAAAAAGTGTTTAAGTGTCATTTGGATTCCACTTTAAAATCTTTCTAAGCTCCTTCGATATTCGATATCAGAAGTGGGTATATGCTTCAATTACTTTTCCAAAAACGGCATTAATAACTGTTCACATTTTCCTCCTAAACATTTGAAGCGTAATACTCAAGTATATGCTGTTGCAAAATTTAACTTCGTTTCACAGTAGAATATCAAAAATTTGCTAGAGCGTTGATTATAGAATTTGAAAATTTAAATCTCCAAGCGAGTTTTACTCTCTACTCGCATTCTAGAAAAGGCACTCCTGAGAGTAAAAAGAAATCGAGCATGCTCCTTTTTCACTTTAGCTTGAATAAGCTCAAGCAGGGGATAAAATTCGCTCGAAATCGAACAGATTCTACTCATGGCGAGCAGATGACGCGATTTCACTTTTAGATCAAACTCTTAACCCATTTCGAACATGTTGCCTCCCACTCTAATTTCTCAAACAGAAGTATTCTTCTCTTTTACCGTCGGTGCCTATATTAATTGAGTTACCTACTTTTGTTAACTAGGTAACTACTTTTGTAACTATTCTTACGATAATTTAAATCCTTTTAATATGAATTTCTTATCCTGTATTTTGTATGCTAAACTCCAAAAAAATGTCTTCTATAATTTTCCTTTTCTTCATAAAATCAATTCTCTGCCCCACCCAAAAAAACATCAAGATGTTTGCTTTTACAGTCAATCAAAAAGACATGAAATGATTGAGCACAAAATAGTGCAGTTCATATTTTGCATCTGCATCACTTTTCTATGATGTGTTGGCTGGCAGGCAACAGCTTTCATTGATTGAGTTTCGAAAACAGAGGGAAAGAAAACTTTGTTTTTTTTTTGAAAGAAAAGAAAATATTGCACATCATAACTCCTCACTGGAAAGTTGTTGTAAAACGAAAAAGGTCAGACAAAGAATGCAGTTCTGGCAATAAATGATTCCGGCGAAAACTTCGGCATGTTCAAGTAATGGCAGGTGTTTATGGCCAGATATGGAATGGTGTTGATATTCAGCAGGCTACAATGTTTACAATGGAAGAGAACTTTGATATATGGCTATGACTGTTGCTCTGTTTTTGCATCTTTTTACATGGTATTTTTTGTTAACTTGTAATTGTTTATGAGGTGTTCAAATTTTATAGAGTTTACACATCGCTATGATGCATGGAACTCATGAACATGTGTCCATAATTCGCTTTGGTTTTTTTTTTCAAAGCATATATCATTCATTCCATTCATTTACTCAATCGCCAGACATGGATGTATTTCTAGAGAACATCTGCTGTTCACTATTTTTTCTTTTTCCATTTTTTCTGTTGGTTGTTGTGTTTTACTTCTTGTAAATGTTAATGTCTGCTATTTTCTTTGCTTTAAACAAAACATTCGAATTTAAGACACAAAGATGCTTAACATTTCTCCTCTGTTTTTCCTTGTTTCGCATTGTTTATAATTCTTTGAATCAGTTTTCGTTTTTTACATGGAAATAAGGCGAAAAATCGATTCAAAACTTTAGCAATGGATAAATTGCTTAATATTTTTGGGAAACTAAATATTTGTAAAACGTAATTCTTGGAAGTGGAATATGAAGCGTTGAGTTATAAAATTAAAAAGTTATTGGATGATTTTTCATCTGAAATAGGGGAAATTGAAAAGTTTTGTTGTACATCTGCTTGCTTGTTGGAGACTCCGGGTTTTTATACCCTCCACCATTCCATCGAGGGTATATTAACTTTGTCATCCCGTTTGTAACTCCTCGAAATATTTATAATAGACCCTACAAAGTATATATATATATATATATATATATATATATATATATATATATATATATATATCAGCGTAAAATTTCAAGACGATGTCCATCTGTCTGTCTGTCCGTCCGTCTGTCTGTCCGTCCGTCTGTCTGTCTGTCTGTCTGTCCGTCTGTTGTAATCACGCTGTATTTTGAACGAATTTAGATAGAAGGCTAAAATTTTGCATATGTGAATAGTTTACCAGTAGGCAGGTTAAGTTCGTAAATGGGTCATGTCGGTCCACGTCTTCGTATAGCCCCTATAAAACGGTACCTCCTGATATTCGGCATTTTCATGATTTCAGCGACATTATTCACTGGAATCGTTTCAAATTTCGTATTGGGAGATCTTAATGGTTAATACAAGCTGTGGAAAAAAATTTCGTATGCAAATTCGTATGGACCCTATCAACCGGTACCTCCCGATATTCAGTATTTTCATGATTTTAGCGACATTATTTATCGGAATTATTTCAAATTCCGTATTTGAAGTTCGTAATGGGTGCCACATCCTATGACAAAAATGTTGTATGCTGGTCCACGTATTCGTATAGTCTCCATATAACAGTTTTCATTTTAGTGGTAGTTTCCGAAAGATTTTTGAATTTTTTTCAAGTTCCATCCAAATGGTGGAAGGTATTAAAAGTTCGGCACGGTCTAACTTAGCGGCTTTTTTACTAGTTTTGTTTTGATTTCATTTTACAACCAAATCAGTTACAATTTCATAATTCGGCCTCTCAACGGTTAGTTGATCTCCTAGCAAAAATATTTCAGGCATAACAGAAACTTCTATATTCGATTTTTCAAAGAATTCGGTCCCGATTTCCAACCAAATCAGATAATATTAATAAGATATTCATATTTCAGATTCTCAGTTTACACTTTAAATCCTCCATCAAAAAAACCTAAGTTTGATATTTTAGGGATGTTAAGGAAAATATATTTGGTCATATATGAAATTTTCACAGGGTGAAGGGTATAAATTCGAAATCGAATAAAAAATGAACTCGCTCGAATCAGAGCGGAAGTACTCCTGCGAGTAAAAAACAGAAATTGAGCAATATCTATTTTCTTATGAGACTCGAGCGTGTATGCTTTGCTCGTTTTTGAATAAGAGTAAAATCCACTAGAAATCGAGCAGCTTATATTTCGGCTGAGTACTTTTTCATTTTTTGTCAGTGCGTGTATTTTCTCAATTCATAGCTTCGAATGAATCAAACCCAAACACGTTAAAGAGTATTGTCGCCAATCGGTACCTAAAAACATATGGTAGTGTGGTTGATTTTGTTGTTTTTGTACACAAAATACACCGGTGCCCTGGTTCTGCTGTTTTACTCTTCTTGGCGATCTCTTCATCTTCAAGGAAAAATAAAAACAATTTCTTTTAAAAAATTCATCATTAAATAAAATAATTGTTTCCCCTCGAATTTATACTTAGAGTAAACTCTTACTCTATTTCCAGCATTTCGAGTCCCACTATAATTTTTTAAACAGAAGTAATTCGCGAGTTCTCCTTTATAAAAGAGAAGGGCGGTGAGTAAACTTTTAGTAAAATTCCTACTCATCGTGTTAGTTTCACTAGCGAGTAGCAACGTACCAATCTGAGCCCTCAGCTTAGGTAAAAAGACCCTAGAAGACTTTTACGAAAGGCATCAAACCAAGATAAGCTACTCTTAAGGAGTCTTGCAGTTTAGAAGGGCCCTTCACCTACAACAAGTTTTCGAGCAAGATATTCTTCTGCATTTCTTCTCATAGCTGCTGCTGTCAATTAATGCCAGTTGTAAAAATGCTGACGTTTCTCAATAGTTCTTTTTTTTTTTGGTATACGACTTGATGTCCCGACCGAAAACCAATTACAAAGGTAGACAGCAGCGCTTATTAATTCCTAACCATCATTTTCGAAAATGTCATTTTTATTTCATAAATTCAATATTGTCCATGTCACACTGACGTTTAAATGCCAGCTTTTATTTGCATTGCAACGAAAACAAGAAGTAGCGCACAAAAAAAAAAAACCTAAACAATTTAAGCCAGACTTGTAACTGCTAAAAGATGCACAACAAAAAACTGTTGGGGACTCTTGTAGATTACAAGTTGGTAAAATTCATGGTTGTCTTCACCAATTGACGTCTGAGACTGTCATTGTTATTTTTAGCAGCGAGTGAGTGAGTGCTCTGCACTTTAGTGACAATGATGATAATTTCCTTTTTTCTGTATTGTAAGGCAGTAACTTTGACATGCATTGTGAATATTTTTATGGATGATGTCGTCTTTAATATTGAAAAACAAAAAACAATGTGGCGCCTAAACTTGGATGCCCTGCCACCCGTTCCCGGCCAAGCTATCCACCTTATCCCTCCCGTTTTGACTTTACGATGTAAACGTGCTAAACTAAAGCAGTATGAATGTATATATATTTGTCTAGGGGCTGATGAAATTATATCGCTTTTGCTGTCGTCTACAGGATGTCAAGATTGTTGTTGCCAATATTTTTGATTAGAGGTTGGTTACCTGTCTATGCCACCACCACGAGCTTGTTAAGTGTTAGAACCAAGGCAGTTTTGTTAGCTTTTCAAATCCAAGTTTGTTTTTATTTTATTTTTTAATTACTTGGGGACTGTCATTAGATTTTAAAGACAAGATTTGCATTAGATTGTCGGATATTCTTACAGTAGACAACGGCTGTGTGTTGATTGTTATCGCTTTCAAAACTGTCCTAATAAATCACTAGTGTTTTGATTGATAGCTCATTGTGCGGGGAATATTAATTTAATTGTTTTCTAATTTGTTGTGGAAGAATTTAAAGAATTTTAATGCAATTGGAAATTAAATGTTTAGTTTGTTTGCGTCTATATTGTAATAGTTTCCGTCATAACTAAGACGGACACAAGGTTACTCTTTAAGGTGGAAACAGTGTATGAGGAAAGGGATATAAATATATTAATTAAAATAAAAATATTATTGTAAGATTTAATTGAAATTTGCATTTTAGGTGCCTACTTTTAGGAGAAAC